CAGGGTGGTGGCTACCCAAAGACTGTTGTTGATTTACAGAACCTTCTTGAGTAGACAACTGATGGCTTTTCTGTGCTTCTCTACAAGATGAATGAGTCATCTGCTGATGCTAAATGAAAACTGAATGAGAAACCTGGCTTGGTGTTAGATATGATCATGAAAACTGTGTAGATAAAGTGTGCGGGCTGGATCTGGGCCTGTGAAGAGGCGTGCTGAATGAAGGACATCTGCACAGGGTGTCGAAGCTGTCCTTCCATGGCCCTCTGAGATGTAATGCTAATTGATTGCGCTTTTAGCTGCTGGTGTCTAAAACTGACATCTGCTTGTGATGGAGCTGCTGTGTACTGGACATTAAGGTTAATGTTAAAATGTCTTTTCCTCCAACTTTGAAGAATTACCACCTTAGGGTTGTGTTAAAGAGACTTGTTCGTCAGAAGTCTGTATTACATAAGGTGGTACTGAGTGTAACTTCTGATGTGCAGAGTTTGTAATATGTATGTGCTTGTTATCGGTAGAGTTTAGTGTGTATACTTGCTGGGTTATGTGGGTTGCCTGTTCAGTTGTCTAGATGCTGTAAGCAGTTTGTGCTGAATAATGGGCATGCTCAAGAGGCAGTGCCCAGTAAGCAAACTGTTCTATAGATTGCACAGAGTAAGCTGCTTGGATCATATATGCTGGCTGGTCTGGAAAAGCTGACAAAACCTGAGGTTGCACTGGAAAAGCAGGCTGCCCTTGGGCTGGGGACAAATAAGAGGGCTGTACCGCAGGTGGGACTGGACAAGAAGTCTGCACAGAATGGGTTGACTATGAGCCTAGTGGTTGTACAGTATAAAGAAGATACTCCAGGGTTGGCAGTGAATAAACAGGCTGTGCTGTAGCCTGGATTGGGTAAATTGGCTATGATGGGCAAGAAGCTTGTTCTGGGTATGTATCACAAATGTCAGCTGCCCAGGAGCCTTCAATGGGAAGGATGGCAGTTCTGCAGATGGTCCTGGATAAGTGTGTTGAACAGAGTAAGAGGGTCATTCCAGGGCCTGAATCACACTTCAAATACCACCTTTTGACTGCTGCTGACTTGCACAAGCTTCAGACACTCTCAGAATACAATCCCACTAAACAAGTTTTTGTAGTGATGCCATAATCTTAGGTTGTAAAATTAAGGGCTGCTGCTGACTAGAGGCTTGGAAACAAGGTTTCTTCAAATGCACAGTCTGGCTTGTGGCACTGAAGAACTTAGAGTCTCCCAGACTCCTAATGTACTACTGGGTATGGGTGGGGTACTAAATATATCTTTTGGAAAGGCTATTTGGCCCTGGAATGCCCCCCAGTGGAATTAGGAACCGAGCTATACCAGCAGCCCTGTGTGCACTGCTCAAAATTGTGCAGAATTATTTGACAGTGCTTGAGAACAATTAGTCAATAATAAATGAGAATTCTGGGGCTGCGTGGGTAGTTCAGTTAGTTAAGCATCCGATTACTGATTTCAGCTCAGGTCATGATCTCACAGTTGTAAGATTGAGCCCCACATCGGGCTCCACACTGGGCATGGAACCTGCTTGGGATTCTCTCTCCCTCTGCCTCTTCCTCATATTCTTTTTTTCTTTCTTTCTTTCTTTCTTTCTTTCTTTCTTTCTTTCTTTCTTTCTTTCGTTCATTCGTTCGTTCATTCATTCATTCTCTCTCTCAAAAAAAAAAAAAGGGAAAAAAAGAAATTAGGAGTCATTAGCATCTGGTGATTTGGTTAATGCCTTCTTCCCATTTCTAGGGCCAGGCTCGAGGTAAAGACCAATTGTTGGATGCTGGGAAATAATTCATGAAGCAGACAATGTCTGAGGAGAAACTGCAGGAAAGCTGGTTGTGGAACTCCAGTAACAGACAATTCTAAAGTCATAGGTTGGGCTGAAGGTTGTCCATCTGTTCCAAAGGTCAGATGCAGTTCCTGGTTCTGGTGCAAGGAAAATTAAAATTACAAATATATATACCATGCCCATTTTAATGGGACTGTCCCAGACAAAATGTAAGATAAAATAATGTTATGTTCTAAAAAGTTCAGCAAGGTAGCAAAAAGGTGCTGGGTATAGTATTAGTCCTATAAAAATCCTTAATACCGTGAGTAAATGCTAGTTGAATACACTAAGGGATTGAGACCAGTCCCAATAATATACTGCTCGTGGCTTCTCATTTGTTGTACTTGCTACATAACTCATTCAAGACCTGGAAGAGATTCAGAGTAACTGAATCTAACACCTTCACACACTAGACACTGGAAGTTCCAAGAAAAAGTTAAAAGGGATTTCAAAATCATAGCTAAAATGAACATAGAAACTCTCCAAAGAGGAGAGAGAGAGTTGGCTGAATAAATATAGGTTGGATGCAATAATTCCTAGAACTTGAACTACCAGGTTCATAAAAGGACATCAACAGTCGAAGTGCTTGCTTATGTGGCTTCTATATATGTTGGGGAAAAAGCCTAAAAAACAGCATGTATGTGATATACAGATGTATATATAAACAAAATTATATATGTATAATGGGGAAAAAAAGACAAATCTAGAGGCTCTACCAACAAATATAAACAATAAGTTGTCTCTAGTTGGAGAAGTAACAGGTGATTTTTCACAGTCTTCTTTATAAATTCATAGGCTTTATTTTAAATAGGTAAATAGCACTCTTATATTAATTTTCGAAACTAAAAAATTTTTGGAACACATTTTAAAATACACATATGTGTATACTTAAGTGGTTGAACCTAAAGTAATTTAAGCATCCATTCAACACACTTGGCATGAAAGTCTTAGAAAGAGACAAATCAAACCACAAGAGCTCAGTTATGAGTATGTACCATGTTACCTACAAACACTAGGCACTGTCAACTCTATCAGATTAAATTTACCCCCAGCAGGTTTTAAATACATTGGGCATGTGTCAAGTATGTATATGCTTTCTCCTACAAGACTGTGAATTCCTTGAGGGTATGGACCATATTTTATTTTATCTGAGATACATAGAAATGGTAGTCATTAAAAACTGTTTGATGGACTGTGACTTACTATATATCAGTCTCTTAAATTTTTTTAATGTTTATTTATTATTGAGACAGAAACACAGCATGAGTGGAGGAGGGGCAGAGAGAGAGGGAGACACAGAATCTGAAGCAGGCTCCAGGCTCTGAGCTGTCAGCACAGAGCCTGACGCAGTGCCCAAACCCATGAACCATGAGATCATGACCTGAGCTGAAGTCGGATGCTCAAATGACTGAGCCACCAGGGTGTCCCTATCAATTTCTTAAAAGAAACAGACGCACCAGCTGCTAACTGAATCATATATAGAGAATGCCTAGGAGCTCAGACCTCTCATTCCCAAAGAAATGAGGCGCACACAGGGGTTGGTGAGGTTGAGAAAAGAAAATGCAGCGATGGCAAAGAAAAGCTGAACCATGTGTCCAAAGTTCATAACTTAAGGAACCAGAATAGTCAATATACGAACTCTTGTAAACACTGTTTACTCCTTGTCAGAAATGAATAATGCTGACTTTAAGAGTCAAAAAGACACACTTATTTCTCCTACAGAAATAAACATGAATCAAAAAAAGCCAAGATCTAATAAACTGTCAGTATTCAAAATATATAAAGATCTTATACAACAACACCAAAACACACAAATAACCCAGTTAAAAATGGGCAGAAAATACACGAACATACATTTCTCCAAAGACATACAGATGGCCAACAGACACATGAAAAGATGATTAACACCACTCACCATCAGGGAAATGCAAATCAAAACCACAATGAGATACCACCTCACGCCTGTCAGAATGGCTAAAACCAAAAACACAAGAAACAACAAGTGTTGGCACGGATGTGGAGCCAAAGGAACCCCATTGCACTGTTGGTGGGAATGCAAACTGGTGCAGTGCTCTGGAAAACAGTATGCAGCTTCCTCAAAAAATTAAAAATAGAACCAACATATGATCCAGCAATTCCACTACTATGTATTTCCCCCTAAAGAATACAAAAAAACACTAATTCAAAAAGATATATGCACTCCAATGTTTATAGCAACACTAACTACAATAGCCAAATTATGGAAGCAACCCAGGTGTCCATCAATAGATGAATGGATAAATATGTAGTATGCATGTATGTATGTGTGTATATATATGTGCATATACATATATATGTATATATACATACATAGATACACAACGGAATATTATTTGTCCATAATAAGGAATGAAATCTTGCTGTTTACAACAACATGGATGGATCTAGAGGGTATAATACTAAGTGATATAAGTCAGTCAGAGAAAGACAAATGCCATATGATTTCACTCATGTGGAATTTAAGAAACAATACAAATGAACAACAACAAAAAAAGAGACAAGCTGAGAAAACAGACTCTTAACTACAGAGAACAAACCCTTCTGGTTAACAGAAGGCAGGTGGGGGAGGTAGGGGTTGGGTGAAATAGGTGAAGGGTATTAAGAAGTTCACCTGCCATGATGAGCACAGGGTGATGAATGGAAGTGTGGGATCACTATATTGTAAACCTGAAACTAATATTACACTGTATGTTTAACTATATTGGAATTACAATTTTTCAAAAAGCCAAGAATTTAGATGAAAGTGCCAAAGATTTTAAGTCATAAAATATTATTTCTAATGAACTACAAAAGACATCCCTCCACATTCAAACCAGGTTAGAAAAGTCCAATACAAAGAACAAACCATCATGACCAAGAGCAAAAGATCAGAGTTCTAAATAAATTTGTTTATCCATATATGGTGTCCTCAGTTTCTTTTCCAATTATAAAAGCAGTGTCTCAAGATTCTAGTTTCATAATGTTAGGCATATCCTCAAGCATAAACAACTTTTAACTTCAGTGAGTTTTATATAAATTATAATGAATTTATGAAAGAGAGCCTTTGCATGTGAGAAAATCTAGGTAGTGTTAAATACATTTAACAGAATACAGAATCTCTAAAATATAGCTTACCTTTATCTGTGAGACCTTCTGGACAGATAATGGGGAAACCTGGGGTTGTGAGACAACTGGAGGTCCAAGGACATGTACAGGCAAAACAGTGGACTGACCTTGAACCAAAGGCAAAATGTGGGGCTGAGTCAGCTTTGGCTGCTGTTGCAGCTGTTAAATAAGAAAAAAAATATGTTAAAGATAAACTCTCCCATTTACAGTAAATATATGGACTATATATTTAAAAATATAACAGTTCACCTTACCCCTGAAATCTGCTGGTAATGTCCTACTCGCTGCTGAGATGGATAAATCATCCCTGGAACATTTATTTCAGCCTGTGGGATGTTGGAAACCACTTGAGAGCCCATCTTCTGGTCTGAGGAATAGGCCACATTGGGATGACTTGAAGTATCTGAGTGTATAGCAGATCCAGCTCCTGCCTTGGACAAATTGTCACCTATGACAAAGAAAATAAACAATAAGAAGAAGGAAAAACTTGAAGCACAAGTCTAAATGACATGGGAAATAATAAGTGTTTTATATTTTCTTTTACTCTAACAACCCGAGACAACTTAAAATAAAACATGTACACTACACAATTAACCAAAAACCATCATGTAAACTCTCCATGTTGATGCTGTGGTATAATTAAAATTTTTTAGTAAAGCAAGCTTAAAAACAAAGAATCACATAAAAATCAACTACATTTGCTGGCCATTTCATGTATATCTCTAACTAATCTATACTTTTTTAAAATTTTTTTTTAAATTACATTTTTTAATTGCCATTAGGATTTCAGTAAAATCTAAGTGTCATATTCTCATTCTTCTAGAACCTGGCTAGAAAATAATACCATCTTTACAAAACAATTGGTTATTACTATAAAAAAAACTGAAAAAAAAAGAAAAGAAAATACTGTGTCCTTCTAGAGAAGAGAATGCATTACAGCAGAAAAAATAGAGGAACTATGATAATTTTATGCTTGAGTCTAAAACACAAAGGATCTTAAAGTCTAGAAAATTCCTCCTTGAAGAATAAATTTTCCCTTTAGTTCCAAATTTTCTTTATTTAAGGATTTACATTAGACCTTTAAAAATGGTAAAAAGATTATAACCCTTATTCAATTAGCACTTTGGACAAGTCATGTAACAAAACAGTTTCTTAATTTTAAAATAAGATAACTAGCTGGCTTGTCTATTTCAGGAAGTTTGTAAAAGAACAGATGAAATGATGGATAACAGAATGCTTTGAAAAGCACAAAAGTACTATTTTAAGATAAGGGAATACAATTACACATCTGTTTGCTTTTATAAATTATGACTATTACCTGTAACAGAGGAGCAGAGCTGCTGTGGTTTTCTTTGTAGAAGTTGTTGTCGAACATGTTGATCAACTTCAGTTTCTTCACATTCAGCCCCAGTGTGCTGAGCAGGAGCAGGGGACAAAGTTGTATTCTGGTGCTGAGGGAGTACATTCCCCACAGACTTGCACTGGGAATCCCTGCGTTCTTCCAAACAGCCAGCTGGTTTCTTCTCCCTTGTCTTTTTTATCAGGGTAACCCGGTCTCTAATGGACTTAGCAACAGCTTTGGAATCACTTTCATGGAAGAATCCTGACTTGACCTACAAACAAAACATAATAAGCAAACTACATCTTTAACATTTAAGATTTTAACTTTTTTTTACTAGCAGTTATTTTGGGCCCCCAAATTGCAACTGCCATTAGAAACTAGTTAATTTGTTTACTTGTTCTTTTTTTTTCAATTCAATATAATTGACATAATTTCAAGTGTATCTTATATTAATTAGCTAATTTTTATAGAAGTTTTATTTATGTTGAAAGGTAGACAGGAAGAGAGAGTGCATGTGAGCAGGGAAGGGGCAGAGAGAGAGAATCCCAAGGAGGTTCCACAGTGTCAGTGCAGAGCCCAACGTAGGGCTCGAACCCCCAAACCCATGAGATCATGACCTGAGCCGAAACCAAGAGTGGGTTACTTCACTAACTGAGCCACCTAGACTCCCCTCAAGATTTTTGATGTACATCTATGTTCTTTCTTCTTAGTGTTTATTTATTTTTGAGAGAGAGAGAGAGAGGGAGAGAGAGAGAGAGCGAGCGAGCGAGCAAGCGCATGAGTGGGGAGAGGGGCAGAGAGAGAGGGAGACACAGTATCAGAACCAGGCTCCAGGCTGTCAGCACAGAGCCTGAGGCGGGGCTTGAACTCAAACTATGAGATCACGACCTGAGCCAAAATCAGACACCCAACTAACTACCACCCAGGTGCCCCTTCTATATTCTTTCTTAATCAGACATACATAAATGCAGAGACTTTAATCAGCATAAGAAAAACTATACCACTACCAAGCACTGTTAAAAGAATTCTGGCTTTAACCAAAACAAACAAATAACTTGATGTTTCAGTACATGCAGTCTTATTACAGTTAATTTATGACTGTCATTAAGGTTTGTGAAAGATTAAAAAGTTTCTTCATTCAACAACATTGTCTACAATGTGCCCAGTACTGGACTCCAGAGACATATAAGTTATTATGCTGTTCCTTTGTCCTGTATGAGCACACAATCTGGTGGTAAGATGGTACAAATTTAACGTAAAATAAGGGAGAAATGAGCTGCTGTAAAAGCACTAAAGGGAAAAGATGAGAAAGTATCGCAGAGGAAGGTAAACTGACTTGAATTAAAACAAACAAAAAAAAAGAAACTTGCTGGCTATTAAGGGAGGTGGGGGATGATTTAGAGATTCACACTCTAGGCAAAGGGAAATCTGCTCACAGCAAAGTACTACATCTTACCAGGTGCTAGAAGAGTGAGAAAAGTTAAGGGCTTGCTGTCTGAGAAGAGCAGGGCTGAGGAGCAGAAAGATGACTTGAGAAGGTGGCATGGTATACCATTCTCAGTCCTACAAAATGTTTTTTAAAGTATGCCTTGGGGGTCCACATACTCAGGAAAATTTTGTAGTAGTTGAAAGAGGATTAAAATGTTAGATGGAATTCATATATTTAATTTTACTCCCTCCAAAAGCTCTTAAAAAATCCCCATACTACATGGATTTTTAAGTTGTAAACCCACAAGTACAGGGAGAATAAGAGAAAGACAATAGCAATAACATTTTGGACACTCTAGAATGTGGAAAACAGATTAAGTGACCTAGCACACCTGAAAAAGGTGAACTAGGGAAAGCTAAGAATCATTATCATTTATACTGAAAAATATTCACAAGGCATAGGAACTGGCAATACCTGTTCTGGTATTGGTGTGAGAACCATTTAAATATTTGGATCCCTGTGCCCCTTCCTCCATTCTATACCTTTGGGTGATTGCTTCTCCCCTACCCAAGAAGGCTAGAGTTTTGTTCTCTAGAGAGGGTAAAAGAGAGGATCTCTGGACTATGGAACACCATACACAGTTGATGGCAAGGCTACCATGCAGAAAACAAGATTAAATGACAATATGCACACTGAATGCCACATGTAGCCCTTTCTCCCACTTGGCTACCAAAATACCAGTAACCAGCCCCCTACCCTTCAGGAAGGACACTGAAAGATGATTCTTTGGGAAATCTGACCAATCCAAGAAGACAGACCTACAAATATTGATGTCAGAGATTCCTTAATTGAAGGCTCACCCAGATATCCTACAGTAAAGGTCAATGTTAACAAGTCTGATACTAGCAATCACATCATCCAATGAGCTTATAAGTTTCTGTGGTAGGCAAAACTATGGCCCCACAAAGATGTCTCATCCTAATCCTCAAACCTATGAATATGATGAGAGATCACTCCCATTATTTTGCTATGAACAGGTGCCCTTAAAATAGGGAGATTATCTGGGTGAGCCTTTTACCAGCTGGTGACTAAGGATTCAACATGTCATTGCTGACTGTGAAGATGGAGTGGGGACACATGAAGGGACTGAAAGGCAGCCTCTAGGAGTATGGAAAGTGACTACCAGTGAACAGTCAGCAAGGAAACGGGGGCCTCAGTCTTTTTTTTTTTTAATGTTTTATTTATTTCTGAGAGAGCGAGAGCGAGAGTGAGCAGGGGAGGGTCAGAGAGAGAGGGAGACACAGAATTCAAAGCAGGGGGCCTCAGTCTTAACAACTATATGGAATTGAATTCTGCCAACAACTCAAAAGCAGATACACCCCCAGAGCCTCCAGATAAGAGCCCAGGCCACCAACACCTTGATTTCACCTGTGAGATCCAAAGCAGAGAATCCAGTGAAGCCCACTAGAACTTTCGACCTCCAGAAATGAATTAATAAATGGGTATTGCTTTAAGCCACTAAATTTGTAGTAATTTGTTACACAGCAACAGAAAACAAATATAGCCTCCTATAGTCTATTAATCACGAGCAGCCAGTCAAGAACTACCAGAAATATTAGAAAAGCCTCTAACACGAAGACAGCATAAAACAAACATAGGTAAAACAGCAATTTGGAGAAAAGAGACTATACAGGGAGAAAAAATGTCAGAAACATTCTTTTTACAAATATTACAGAAAAGTGCAAAAATATAGCCTCCACAAAACAAAGAAAAAGATGTCTACTCTAAGGAAGGAACAGACCAAAAATGAAAAGGAACTCTTAATAAATCATGATAACAGAAAAAAAAAAAAAAAAAAAAACCATGATAACAGAAATGAAAAACTCAATGGGCTAGAAGATAAAGTTGCTAATATCTGGCATAAAGGAGAATAAAAAGACAATGAAGATGAAAAATAGAAAAGAAAGAATAATGGAGAATTAGTCTAAGAGGTCCAATATCCAAATGATAACAGCTCCAGAAAGAAAGCAATGGGGAAGAAATCATCAATAAAATACTTTAAGAAATTTCCCAGAAAATAAAGGATAGGAGTTAACAGACTAGAAGGGTCCACTGAGAATCCAACAAAGTGGATGAAAATAGACCCAAATCAAGACACATCACTGTGAAATTTTAGAATACTAAAAAAGAAATAGAAACTATTACAAACTTCCAGAGAGCAAAAAATGGATCACATGCAAAAGATTCCAAAAATAGAACAATAGAAAATATTGTATTTCTCAATATCAATATTGAAAGCTAGAAAAGCATGTTACAATGAGTCTGAAAAAATTTTTTAAATGCAACCTAAAATGCCATAGCCAGCCAAACAATAAATTAAATACGAACATAGAATAAAAATATTTTCATACATGCAAGTCTCAAAGAATTTACCTCTCATACCCTTTCTTTAAGAAGCAGGCAGAGGAGTGCCTGGGTGGCTCAGTCGGTTAAGTGTCCGACTTCGGCTCAGGTCATGATCTCACAGTCCGTGGGTTCAAGCCCCGCGTTGGGCTCTGTACTGACAGCTCAGAGCCTGGAGCCTGCTTCAGATTCTGTGTCTCCCTCTCTCTCTGTCCCTACCCCGCTCGCTCTCTGTCTCTGTCTCTCAAAATAAAATAAAGACATTAAAAAAATTAGAAAAAAAAAAAGAAGAAGGCGGCAGAGGAAGTGTGCCACTAAAACAATAGGGTAAGCCAAGAAAGAGAAAGACATGAGATTAGGAAACATGAAGCCCAACAGAGAAGAAGAGAAGTCTAGAAAGTTAGTAAAGATAAATATCAGGATAATAGTTGTTCACCAGATGTCCAAGGCAATCATTCCAGATCAGAACAGTATGACTATAAAAACAGACATGTTAAAGGCTATCATCTCCAAGAACCCCACTGTCAATGTTCCATCCCTCTTTTTAACCCGAGGACAGGATGCCCAGGTTAACCTGGCTCAGACTATCTGTACTTGGCTAATTTGACCATATGGGGCCAAAGCTCCTGTATACCTTCCCTCTAAGCACTGTAGCAGCCTGGATCAGGTGTGGCCACACATTCAACCCCACAGAAGCTGCCATCTACTCTGTGGGGAGAAGGATCATGAGGAGATTAGAAGTAGAGAAGTCAGAGAGGCCCACTCCCCATCAAACCATATCATTACCAGACAACTAATTTCTGGTCCATACAACAGCCCACCAGTGACCTGCCTAGTGAGTCATGTGTATTTCCCTGAACTCAATCATGACCTCACCTGTTGACTTCCCTGTTGTAAATGCTTAGAGAAAGTGAAGCCAGACTATGACTGAGAGACTCTGTTCAGTTGGCTCTCCTGAGCATCTTCACCTAATAACTTCAGTAATCAGCTAGGTGTGGGCTTGCCACTCAGGTTTTTAAAACAAAATAATTATTACTTAGATAAACTATAATGAAAAAGGAATGAGTAACACAAAAGTCAGGGTAGATATTACCTGTGGTGATTAGGGAAGGGAATACAACTGGGAGGGGCATATAGGTGACTTCTAAGATATAAGTTGTGTTCTATTTCTTAATAATAGTGTTTTATTATTCTTTATACTCTACATACAAATTTAATATACTCTTCTGTAAAGCTACACTTCACAATAAAATAATTTAAGTAAAGAAAGGGAGAAAACGAGAGGAAAGAAAGCAATAGGGAGAAAGGAATCAATCAACCCTGATACTATCTATAAGGGCAGCATTGGGGGAATGGAGAATAGTGATAGGGTTCACTTACCATTTCATACGCTACTTCCTCAGATGTATCTGTTTCTAAATTGAAACTGAATTCAATAGCTTCATTGTCTTTGTGCTTGCCTTTCAATTTTTTAGGGTCTTCAACCCAGAGTCTTAAAGCCAGGGACGAATTAGAGCAGTCATCTTCCTCTGCTAACTCCACCCTCAGTCCTGTATCCTCAGCAAAAAATGCGTGGTTTAATAGGTCCCTGATAGACAACCTAATAAACAAAATACATATCTCATTATCAATTTTTCCAGTCATAAGCAAGATATAGAACCCTTAATTAGTAAATATTAATTACATCAAGGTAAAAATCTTATTTTAAAATTTCTACTAATTAAAACATTAACCTTCTTTGTTAAAAACCAAATCTAGGGGCACCTGGGTGGCTCAGTCGATTAAGCATCTGACTTCAGCTCAGGTCATGATCTCACGGTTCGTGGGTTCGAGCCCATTGTCAGGCTCTGTGCTCACAGCTAGCTCAGAGCCTGGAGGCTTCTTCTTTTTTTTTTTTTTTTTTTTTTTTTTTTTTACAAATTGTTTATTGTCAAATTAGTTTCTACATAACACTCAGTGCTCATCCCCAAAGTGCCCTCCTCCATGCCCATCCTCCCCTCCCCCCCACATCCATCAGTCCTCAGTTTTTGTCAGCATTCAAGAGTCTCTCATGGTTTGCCTCTCTCCCTTTCCCCCACCATTTCCGCCCTTCTTCTCCCGCTTGTTCCTCCGTCAAGTTCCTCCTAATCCTCCTATACGTGCACACATATGATATTTGTCCTTCTCTGCCTGACTTATTTCGCTCAGCATAACACCCTCAAGGTCCATCCATGTTGCTACACATGGCCAGATTTCATTGTTTCTCATTGCCATGTAGTATTCCATGGTATAGATAAACCACATCTTCTTGATCCATTCATCTGTGGATGGACACTTAGGCTCTTTCCATGTTTTAGCTATTGTGGAGAGTGCTGCTATGAACATTGGGGTACATGTGCCTGGAGCCTTCTTCTGATTCTGTATCTCCCTCTCTCTGACCCTCCCTTGCTCACACTGTCTCTTTCTCTCTCAGAAATTAAAAAAACATTTTTAAAAATTAAAAAAAAATCTTATATTTAACTTATTATTACCACGAATGCAAAGAAATGCCACCTAACATGCACTTAAAGTCACCTTAATTAGAGATTATTACCAGCAACATATCTAGATACTGTATGCCTAGGGGCACCTGGGTGGCTAAGTTGGTTAAGCGTCCAACTTTGGCTCAGGTCATGATCTCGCGGTTCGTGGGTTAGAGCCCCGCGTAGGGCTCTGTGCTGACAGCTAGCTCAGAGCCTGGAGACTGCTTCAGATTCTGTGTGTCCCTCTCTCTCTGACCCTCCTCTGCTCATGCTGTCTCTCTCTCTCAGAAATAAATTTAAAAAACACTAAAAAAAATAGATACTGTATGCCTAAAGAATTAAAGCAGTGCCTCAGTTTATGATGGGTATAGTGACTAGTTTCCCTAACTGGCTTAAGTTACTAAAACTCAAACAGACTGTCAGCAAAGTCAACTAAAAATTTCCAGATATGTAAACTCTAAAGTAAACCATAAATTCAAACTTTTACAAATGTTATAAATAGAAGTCATTGACTCCATTAACAATAATCTAACAACAATTCTCTTTAGAGAATGCCAGGAACAAAAGTAATTTAGTTCTTCTGCAAAGTCCCATGGTTTTCTTCAAATGTGTAAGTCTAGTATTTTAGGCCAAAGTATATATACAGTAGATGTGCCTCTAACCTAATATTAGGAATTAACCATCTCTGAAAAGAAAAAAAAAAGAAAAAAAAAAAAGACAGGGGTTCGAAAGATTGTTTTACAAGTTGAGGGCAGTAAATTTCCTTTGCTTTGACCAATTTCTAAAACAAATATACAATATACAATGTATCTATATTACAGGTCAGAGAGAGCTAAAACTAATGTAGAAAACCTTTCTCATACTACTTAAAACAGATAAAATACATTAATAGCACGGTATCTTCTAAGTTGAGGATTTTCAACCTTTCTCATCATTTTAGTGATCAAGACAAATACTTAACTAAGAGAGTATTATAAAAAGAATAAGTTTCCTCATACTAATTAGTTTTAAGGCTAAGGTGAGAAGTGTTTAAAAAGGTGCAACCAAGTTAAAGCCCTCTGCCTCTCAATGAAAATTTTGCCTAGGTATTTTTACTAAGGAATAATTATAGCAATAGCATCAAAAGATACCATTAAATACTTATTACCCTGTTAGGTATTTTATATGCATTATCTTTTTAATCACCAAAATAATACCTGTTTTGAGGAACAGTTAAGTAACTTACTCAAGATCACAATGGCTAAGTGTGAATCCACATTTGAATCTTAGTCTAATGTAGAAGACTATGCTCTAATACACTAATATGCAATGAACCCTTCTGAATATTCCAATGTTCTCTGATAATAGTTCACAGTGAAAATGCTGTAAAAACAATAATTAGAATACAAACTAAAATGGCTACTTCAACATAGTACGACTGACCCTTGAACACTATGGGATTTTGGGGTGCCAACCTCAGTTGAAAATCTGTGTCTAACTCTTAACTCCCCCAAAACTTAACTACTAATAGTTAGCTATTAATAGTTTTATTGACCAGAAGCCTTGCCAATAACATAAACAGTTGATTAACACATATTTTGTATGTTGTATGTATTATATACTATAATTTTACAATAAAGTAAGCTAAAGAAAATATTATTAAGAAAACCATAAGGAAGAGAAAATGCATTTACAGTACTGTATTGTTTGTTGTTCAAGGGTCAACTGTATTTTCATACTCATTTAAAAAAAAAGTATGCCTCGGGGTGCCTGGGTGGCTCAGTCGGTTAAGAGTCCAACTTCATCTCAGGTCATGATTTCGTGGCTCGTGGGTATGAGCTCCACGTCAGGCTGACAGCTTGAAGCCTGAAGCTTGCTTTGGATTCTATGTCTCCGTCTCACTCTGTCCCTCCCCTGCTCGCTTGCATTCTCTCTCTCTCTCTCTCGCTCTCAAAAATAAGTGAACATTACAAAAAAACTTTTAAACAAAAAAATAAAAAAGTATGCCTAAACTCTAACAACTTCAAAATGGCCACAACAAAAAAATTAACAACCTAAGCTTAAAAAGAGCAAAGAACTTGAACAAAGAAGATATACAAATGGCCAATAACCACATGAAAAGATAGTCAACATCATTAGTCATTAGGAAAATGCAAATCCAAACCACAATGAGATACCATTTCATAACTATTAGGATGGCTACTATCAAAAAATGGAAAATAACAAGTGTAGGTCAGGATGTTGAAAAATTGGAACCTTCATATGTTAGCAGAGGGAATACAAAATGGTGCAGCCACTATGGGAAAAAACTGGTGGTTCTTCAAAGAATTAAACAGTATTACCATACAATCCAGTAATTCCAGTCCTAGGTATATACTGAAGAGAACTGACATCAGGTGTTCAAGCAAATACTTATTCAACAATATTCATGCAGCACCATTCATCATAACCAAAAGGCAGAAATTGGTGTTTGTGTGCGTGTGTGTGCTTCTTTCTTAAAAAGGACTTTCTGATATATGCTACAACATGGATCAACCTTGAAAACACTATGCTAAGTTAAATAACCAACCACTAAAGGACAAATTATTGTATGATTCCACTTACATGAGGTACCTTAGAATAAGCAAATTCATACAGACAGAAAGTAGAATAAATGTTACTAGGTGTTAAGGGGAAAAGGAAAGGAGAGGTACTATGTAATAGGTATAGAATTTCTGTTGGGGATGATGAAAAGTTCTGGAAATACAAAGCTGTGTGGTTGTATTCACAACAATGTGAATGTACTTAATGCCACTGAATTGTATACTTAAAAGTGATTAAAGTAGTCAATGTTAAGTTATGGATATTTATCATAATTAAAATATATAACTACCTAGATTAAGTGTTGGTACAAACACCAATGTTTTATAATAAGTATATAATGAAACAGGCTTTACCTTAGTGGCTCTATTTACATTAGTGGCTTTATATATTCTCAGATATACAACACTAAACTTAGAAAATAAAAATGGGGGACAGTCAATAAAATGTGGGTGAAAATAACTTCTATAAAAGACCTATCACCTTTATTAATCATAATCAATAAGGAGGTAAAAAATGAAAAGATTATCCTACCGATTTAACTTGTTAACTGTCCAAAGCTCATATTAACAGGAAATAGAAGCTAAAACTAAAGGGATGTGCCCATTAAAACACACAGACACACACACACACACACACACACACACACACACACACGCAAATTGGGTTACAAATAAATCTAGAATAATACTTCTTTAATTTTTCTTTGAGAGAGAGAGAGAGACAGAGCACAAGCAGGGGAGGGTCAGAGAGAGAGGGAGATAAAGAATCTGAAGCAGGCTCCAGGCTCTGAGCTGTCAGCACAGAGCCTGACGCGGGGCTTGAACCCACAAACTCTGAGATCATGACTCGAGCCAAAGTCGGATGCTTAACCAATTGAGCCATCCAGGCACTCCTCTAGAATACTACTTTTTTTTTTTTTTTTTTTTTTTTTTTTACAAATAGTTTATTGTCAAATTAGTTTCTACATAACACTCAGTGCTCATCCCCAAAGTGCCCTCCTCCATGCCCATCCTCCCCTCCCCCCCACATCCATCAGTCCTCAGTTTTTGTCAGCATTCAAGAGTCTCTCATGGTTTGCCTCTCTCCCTTTCCCCCACCATTTCCGCCCTTCTTCTCCCGCTTGTTCCTCCGTCAAGTTCCTCCTAATCCTCCTATACGTGCAAACATATGATATTTGTCCTTCTCTAGAATACTACTTTTTGAACAAAAAATGGCTCTATCTACTTTACCATTATCATGACACAAAGACATATGGTCTATAAACAAAAAATATGGGTGAGTTGATGGTCAATTTTTTTTATGCTATCATAAAAAACCATTTAAGTACTTCCCTGAAGGTGACACAGCAGAAGCTCTCTACCATCAACTGTTAGAAACAAATTAATCTGGGGCCTAACCATTTGAGTATGTACCTGAAGGTGACACTGAAGAAGCTTTCTACTATCAACTGTTAAAATCACGTTAAACTGGGGGACCCCAATGACTTGTTAAACTGATGGCTGAAGGGACGCCTGGGTGGCTCAGTCGGTTAAGCATCCGATTTCGGCTCAGGTCATGATCTCATGATTCCTGGGTTTGAGCCCCGCATCGGGCTCTGTGCTGACAGCTAGCTCAGAGCCTGGAGCCTGCTTCGGATTCTGTGTCTCCCTCTCTCTCTGACCCCCTGCCCTGCTCACACTGTCTCTCCCTCTCTCTCTCAGAAATTAAAAAATAAAATCTTAAACTGAAGGCGGAAAGTGATGAAAATTTGCCACAAAACAAACAGACAAAACCAAATTTCAGTTCAAGAAAAATTTAGCACATGTTATCAAAAGTCCAAAATGGCAAATAACATGCACTGATATACTTCACTCAAGAGAGTATGGTTTGTGTTCCACTCAAAAGTAATACTCAGTATTATTTAAAGGTCAGAAAATCACCCAGTCCAAGATAAGAGTTTAATGTATCTATCACTTATGTCATTTTGTTACATTTGTACCCACCTTTCTGATTTGTTTTGACGAATACATCCTTCAATGATTTCTTTTACTTCGGGATCAGTGACTTTATTGAAACTGGCTGGCTTTATGCCCTAGGAGAAGAAAAAATGGTTTCTGGTCACAAAATAAGCAACTGAAAGCCCAAGTCAACAGGACACTTATTAAAGTAATAAATTTTGACCACTAAATTAAAATATTCAAGCTTTACATAAGAGAAATATATACACACAGTGTAAGTTTAACAATTTTTTGACAAAGATTTTGTCATAGTATTAGTCTACAAATAACTGTGGAAACTTTTAAATAATCTAAATTTCTAACAACAGAGGTGATGTTACATAAATTATGTGATATATAATATGCTCATGTTATGCAAGAACTAAAAATGTTCTCAAAGTATTTAATAACATAGAGCATTCTCATATTGCAACATTAAGTATGGAAAAAACTGGATCTGAAAATGTATACACAAGTATAACTCCAATTAACAAACTATACTAAATAAGGCTTCCAGAATGGCTAGAAGCAACGAGCAATCAATATATATGTATGTATAGGGATGCCTGGGTGGCTCAGTCAGTTAAGCATCTGACTTTGGTTCAAGTCATGATCTCATGGTTCATGGGTTTGAGCCCAGACTGGGCTCTATGCTGACAGCTCAGAGCCTAGAGCCTGCTTCGGATTCTGTCTCCCTCTCTCTGGCCCTCCCCCATTTGTGCTCTGTGTGTCTCTCTCTCAAAAATAAACATTTAAAAACATATACATGTATTATGAAATATATATATGTATACACATACATATATATAGACTTTTGATATTATTTTATCATTATGCAATACTAAAATATTTAGAGAACATCAAGCTAATTATCAGGTTCTAGAAATCCATTAACAAATTAGTAAGGTCTAGACAATTCAAAACATTTCTGTAACTATGTTAGATGCCTGAATCTGTTTATTTTACATTCTATTACTCTTAAATTATTAGTTTTAGATTTCAGAAAATAATCATTAGTCATTTAATAGAAAACTCCAAATTAATCTAGAACAAGAAAGAGATCACAGAATAATAGTCATGGAATAAGGCAATTTAAAACCTAGTTCTGGGTCTGTCACACTAGTTCTGGGTCCTGCACATAGGATGCAGAATCAGAAAGCCCAGTATCATATACTAGAATAAATCTGGTGAGATTAGGAGTTGATTTGGATCTCAAACTCAAGAAACTTGAATTGTGAATTGTGAATATGGCATTTTTGTGACTTTAATATAAAATAATAAAGTCACCATTCAAAAAATGGTGTCATATCATTCTACTTATAGAAAAAGTCCTCTGTGACCTTTCCAATGATCTCTTACCTATTCCCCAGTCCTGGATAAATTATTGCCTTTCTCTGCTCCTAGGTGAAATTAATTGGGAAGCTGCAACTTACAAAAAACAAGTACAAATCCTTTTCTATTTGTGGCCATACAATGTATGGGCCCAGACTAAAAATACATTCTAGCCTTATCTCTTCTCTCAGCTCTTAGTTGCAGAAATCTTCAAGCATATTCAAAAGTAGTAGTCCCAGCTACTCGGGAGGCTGAGGCAGGAGGATCGCTTGAGCCCAGGAGTTCTGGGCTATAGTGCGCTATGCCGATCCGGTGTCCGCACTATATTCGGCATCAATATGGTGACCTCCCGGGAGCGGGGGACCACCAGGTTGCCTAAGGAGGGGTAAACTAGCCCAGGTGGGAAACGGAGCAGGCCAAAAGTAGAAGAGTATAAGAAGCCCCATGTAACCATCACCAGCTTCAACAAGCAACATTTTGTCAACCTTGTTTTAGCTATCTACCCCTATACCTTTTTATCCTAAAATATTTTAAAGCAAATCCTAGGCATCATGTCATTTCACTCAGAAAGTCTCTAGTTTATACCTCTAACAGATATCATGCAATCATCCCACCTAAAATAATTACCAATGATTCTATAACATTATCTAAAACCTAGTCCACTCTGAAATTTTCCAAATTGTCTAAATGAGGTCTTCTTGTAGTTGGTTTGTTCAAATCAGGATTCAAACAAGGTCCTCACAGAATATATATGGATGGTGCATTAGAGCTGGCTCATACCACCTCCCAAGAGGCAACTATTACATTGTCAAGAATTTGGTAAGTTGATTGTTAAACACAGTTATTTACAAAACTTAAATAAGCTTACAATTAAATAAATTCTATCAACAGCCAAGGCAATAAATACAGATAACACTACTCCTTAATTATTTTACTACATTTTACTATTATCTATGCTCTTGAGGTAGTTTATTATATCTGTATGGTGGAAATATCATATGATGAGTGCCACTGTGTATACTGTTCCCAACCCTGCATTCACTGAGGTCACAATGGTGACTTGAAATCAATCATGGTGGAAATATTTAACGCCAAGGAAATTAGTGAATAATAGAAATCAGTGCTTTTTCTTTTTCATAGAATCAGTTGTTAAACATTTAGCTCACTTAACGTAGCTCACCACTACTTCCAGTCTCTTGTATTATTTAACAGTCACTCTCCTTTTTGCTTTCATGAAGTTGATTTGTTGGAGAAACTAGGTCATTTGTCCTATAGAATGTCCACATTCTGGATACTGGCTTTACTTCTTGTCTCCCTACATATATATCTCTAGAGTCACACAGATTTGAGGTCAAAAATCCACCATTATTTAGTAGCTGTGTGGACTTTGGCAAGTCATATCTCTGATTCTCAGTCTTATCATTCGTAAACTGAAGATAATGCCATCTTGTAGGGTTTTAAATATGAAAGTACGTAGTATAAAGCATGCATTTAAAAATGGTACCTACTAGTATTAGTTACTTGAAACACTCTACCAATCTCTTTCACAGCCTATTCTACAGCCACCCAAGTAGATATGAAATAGACCAATTTTGAACAATCCTAAGACTGCTTCTACCTTACATCCCTTACTATACTCTCTTCCTCTTATTTTTTTAGCGATTTGTGAATTTAAAATGCAAGCTCCTTATGAGTAGCAAACACTTCTTATTCATCTCTACATTCCATGAAATTTCTAATGCACAGGAGGAGGCAAGATGTTGGAGAAGTAGGAAGCTCCATATATTTCACTCGCCCCCATCTCTCAAATGGAGATCCCCTGAAGCCATAGGAACCCTTACAGAATCCAGGAGTTTGGGAGGAAAAGGAGACAGAGTCCACTGAGAAAACTTTATAGCATGAGTGTGAACTGGGGAAGATAAAAACAGGCCGGGACTGGAGACACGGAGGGAGGGGAGGGATCCCCATTTGCCGGGAGCCGCGGTGAGTCAAGGGGAAAAGAAAGAGCAGCTTAAACTATTCAAGACACTGTCCCTGTCACTGAAAAAGAGAAAAACCTTGGCTAGGGACACAGAGGGATCCAGTTTCCAGCTGTACAGCTGACCTTGAGCAGGAAGCACTGGTCCCAGGCAAACCTGGGAAAAACCGCTCCTCTGCTCCCCAGCTCGACCTGGAGGGGAAATGACACACCTGAAGCCACTCCACCACTCTTCTGGCTCAGCTCGATTCCTAGTGGGGAGGCAGCCAGCTTGAAAATGCTCAGAGGGACTCGGCCCGTGGGTTTATATTTCGGGCGGCATCAATGGGGTGCGCGGACTGAGATCCTGGAAACGAGGCCTGGCTTGGGATATAGAGCAGAGCCCACCTTGGCTACCCCATGGCACAGGGAGATTGGACCCAAAAGAGTGAGTTGCAACGCTTGGATTGTGAAGGGACTGGGGCGCCATCATTTTTCTCCCCACAATCACCAAGGCGGGACCTTAGGGAGAGGCCTGCCTACGCCAAACCACACCCATCCTTGCTAGAAAGCTGCTTTTTACTTTTTTTACTGGAGCCCGGGGCAAGACCAATATGGATGCACGACCGTGATTAATTTTAGATCAATTCTTTCTATTCAGATATATTTTCCCTTGTCTCATTCGTATTCCTCACCTCTGCTGGTCTGGACACTCTGGTAATTAGTTTGCTTAAATAGTCACATTTAATCCATTATCTAGATGTATATTCTACACCTCCACCGCTACCTTTCTATCTCTCTCTCTCTCTCTCTGGAGTAATCAGACTATATAGTTTCTCTGAGTAACATTACCTTCCTTTCTTTCTCCTCGCCCCCTACCACATTCTCCTCTTTCTCTCTCTTAATTAAGCCTCTTAGTCTCTCTGCCTGGTTATTTCTCTTCCATTTTCACTTCCTCCCCGCCCTGTCATTTCTCTTTGTATATGCTCTTCCATCAACACTGCATACACCTGGCTCTTTATTTGTAGCTGGGAATTCTGGTTTTATACTTTTAGACTGTCCTTTGTCTTTTGGTTTTTTTTCTTTTATCTTTGATTTTCTGCTGTTTTCTATTTTACTTTTTTCTTTTTCTTTTTATTATGTTTTTCCTCCTTCCTCTTTTTTCCCCTTCTTTTTTCTTTTTTTTTCTTTTTCCCTTTCAGTTTGCATGTTTGTTGGATTTATCTGTGCATATATGTGCCTTTGTTTCCTGTGTATTGGTCTGTCTGTTTTCTTTTCCAGGGGAACCTCAAGAAACAAGCCAAAGTACACATGGTGGAGAGTCCCATATACCACTACGAGTAGGGAAATAAAATGACCAAAGTCTCAACAAGAGAGACCAAGAGACACCATTCAAAGAAAACTTCTTGAACACACAGGCCCTAGATAGTCAATGAGCCTTCATTAATATAGGAGTACTCACAGGTGCAGAGCACATAACAAGCTTTCAAAACAAACAAGAGATAGAAAGCTAGCCAAAATGACGAAATAGAAGAACTCCCCTCCAAAGAAATTCGAGGAAGAAATGACAGCTAAAGAACTGCTCAAAACAGATATAAGCAACATAATTGAACAAGAATTTAGAACAATAGTCATAAAACTAATCGCTGGATGTGAAAAAGGCATGGAAGACATCAGAGAAGCTATTGCTACAAAGACAATGGAGGTTAAATATAGTTGTGATGAATTAAAAAATGCTATAAATGAGATGAATAAAATGGCAAAATAGAAGGGCAAAGAGACATTTCTGAAAGCAGCTAGGGATAAAAGGGCCCTCACATACAAAGGGAAACCTATCAGAGTGGTGACATACCTATCTATTGAAACGTGGCAGGCCAGAAAGGAATGGCAGGAAATCTTCAATGTGATGAACAGAAAATATAGGCAGCCAAGAATCCTCTATCCAACAAGCCTGTCATTCAGAATAGAAGGAGAGATAAAAGTCTTTCCAAAAAAACAAATCTGAAAGAATTCATTACCACTAAACCAGCCCTACAGGAAATCCTGAGGGCGATTCTATGAGGGAAATGTTGCAAGAAATGCAAGATACCAGAGACACCACCACAAGCATGAATCCCACAAAGGACACAATGACTCTAAATCCATATTTTTCAATAATAACACTGAATGTAAATGGATTAAATGCTCCAATCAAAAGACATAGGGTAGAAGAATGGATAAAAAAATAAAACCCATCTATTTGCTGTCTACAAGAAACTCATTATAGACTGGAGGACACCTTCAGATTGAAAGTAAGGGGATGGAGAAATACCTATCATGCTCCGGGTAGTCAAAAGAAAGCTGGAGTAGCAATACTTATATCAAGCAAACTGGACTTTAAAGTAAAGGCAGTAACAAGGGATGAAGAAGGGCATTATATAATAATTACATGGCCTATCCATCAGGAAGAGCTCACAACTATAAATGTCTACGCACTGAATATGGGAGCACCTAAATACATAAAACAATCACAAACAGAAACAATCTTATGGATAAGAATGTGCTAGTAGCAGGGGACTTTAATACTCCACTTACAGCAATGGATAGATCAACTAGACAGAAAATCACTAAAGAAACAATGGACTTAAATGACACATTGGACCAGATGGATTTTATAGATATATTCAGAACTCTACATTCTGAGTCCATGGAATTCACTTTCTTCTCAAGTGCACATGGCACATTCTCCAAGATAGATCACATACTGGGACATAAAGCAGCCCTCCATAAGTATAAAAGAATTGAGATCATACCATGCACACTTTCAGGTCACAATGCTATGAAACTTGAAATCAACCACAGGATGAGGTCTGGAAAACCTCCAAAAACATGGAGGTTAAAGAACACCCTACTAAAGAATGAATGGGCCAATCAAGCAATTAGAGAAGAAATTTAAAAATATATGGAAACAAAATAAATACAACAATGCAAACTCTATGGGATGCAGCAAAGGCACTCCTAAGAGGAAAATACATTGTACTCCAGGCCTATTTCAAGAAATGAGAAAAAGCACAACTGCAAAATCTAACAGTGCACCTAAAGAACTAGGAGAGCAACAAGAGCACCCCAAACCCAGTAGAAGAAGAGAAAGAATAAAAATCAGGGCAGAAATAAACAATATAGAATCTAAAAAAAAAAAAACAGTTGAACATATCAATGAAACCAAGAGTTGGTTTTTTGAAAAAATAAACAAAATTAACAAACCTCTAGCCAGGTTTCTCAAAAAGAAAAGAGAGAGCACTCAAATAGACAAAATCATGAATGAAAATGGACTCATTACAACCAACCCCTTAGAAATAAAAGCAATTATCAGGGAATACTATGAAAAATTATATGTCAACAAATTGGACAACTTAGAAGAAATGGACAAATTCCTAAACACATACTCACTACCAAAATTCACATGGGAAGAGATAGAAAATCTGAACAGACCCATCACTAGTGAAGAAATTGAATCAGTTATCAAAAATCTCCCAACAAATAAGAGACCTGGGCCAGATGGTTTCCCTGGGGAATTCTACCAGACATTTAAAACAGAATTAGTAATACCCATTCTTCTCAAGCTTTTCCAAAAAATAGAAATTCAAAGGTAAACTTCCAGACACATTCTAGGAAGCCAGTATCACTTTGATTCCCAAGCCAACAGAGACCAAAAAAAAAAAAGAGAGAGAGAGAACTAAAGGCCAATATCCTTGATGAATACAGATCCAAAAATCCTCAACAAGATACTTGCATATTGAATGCAACAGCACATAAAAGGAATTATCCACCATGATCAAGTGGGATTCATTCCTGGGTTACAGGGTTGGTTCAATATTCACAAATCAATCAATGTGATACATCAAATTAACAAAAGAAAAGATAAAAGTATATGATCCTGTCGATGGATGCAGAAAAAGCGTTCGACAAAATATAGCATCCCTTCTTAATAAAGACCATTGAGAAAGTCGGGATAGAAGGAACTTACTTAAACATCACAAAAGCCACCTATGAGAAGCCCTCAGCTAACATGATCCTCAATGAGGAAAAACTGAGAGTTTTACCCTGAGATCAGGAACACGACAGGGATGTCCACTCTCACCACTGTTGTTTAACATAGTGCTGGAAGTCTTAGCATCAGCCATCAGACAACAAAAGGAAATCAAAGGCATCAAAATTGGCAAAGGAGAAGTCAAACTTTCAGCTTCCGCAGACAATGATACTCTACATAGAAAACGTGACAGACTCCACCAGAAGCCTACTAGAACTGATCCATGAATTCAACAAAGTTGCAGGGTACAAAATCAACATACAGAAATCGGTTGCATTTTTATACACCAATAATGAAGCAACAGAAAGAGAAATCAAGAAACTGATCCCATTCACAATTGCACAAAAAAACATAAAATACCTAGGAATAAGCCTAACCAAAGATATAAGTGATCTGTATGATGAAAACTATAGAAAACTTATGAAAGAAATTGAAGAAGACACAAAGAAATGGAAAAACATTCCATGCTCATGGATGGAAGAATAAATATTGTTAAAATGTCATTACCAGCAAAAGCAATCTACACATTCAATGCAACCCCAATCAAAACTGCACCAGCATTCTTCTCAAAACAAGAACTATCCTCAAATTTGTATGGAACCACAAAAGACCCCGAATAGCCAAAGTAATACTGAAGACAAAAACCAAAATGAGAGGCATCACCATCCCAGACTTTAGCCTCTACTACAAAGCTGTCATCATCAAGACAGTATGATATTGGTAGAAAATCGGACACATAGACCAACGGCATAGAACAGAGAACTCAGAATTGGACCCACAAATGTATGGCCAAGTAATCTTTGACAAAGCGGGAAAGAGTATCCAGTGGAAAAAAGACAGCCACATTTTAAAAAAATTTTTAATGTTTCATTTATTTCTGAGAGAGAGAGAGTGTGTGTGAGCAGGGGAGGGTCAGAGAGAGAGGGAAATACAGATCTGAAGCAGGTCCAGGCTATGAGCTAGCTGTAATCACAGAGCCCAACGCAGGGCTCAAACCCACGAACCATGAGATCATGACCAGAGCCGAAATGGGACGCTTAACCAACTGAGCCACCCAAGCGCCCCAAAGACTGCCTCTTTAACAAATGGTGCTGGGAGAAATGGACAACAACATGCAGAAGAATGAAACTAAATCATTTTCTCACACCGTACACAAAAGTAAACTCAAAATGAATATTGGACCTGAATGTGAGACAGGAAACCATCAAAACCTTAGAGGAGAAAGCAGGAAACAACCACCTTGACCTCAACCGCAGCAATTTCTTACTTGACACATCCCCAAAGGCAAGGGAATCAAGAGCAAAAATGAACTATTGGGACGTCATCAAGATAAAAAGCTTCTGCACGGCAAAGGAAATAATCCATAAAACTAATAGGCAACTGACGGAATGGGAAGATAGTTGCAAATGACATATCAGATAAAGGGCTAGTCTCCAAAATCTATAAGGAACTCACCAAACTCCACACCCAAAAAACAAATAATTCAGTGAATAAATGGGCAGAAGACATGAACAGACACTTTTCCAAAGAGGACATCCAGATGGCCAACAGACACATGAAAATATGCTCAGCGTCCCTCCTCATCAGGGAAATACGATTCAAAACCACACTGAGATACCACCTCACGCCGGTCAGAGTGGCTAAAATGAACAAATCAGGAAATGATAGATACTGGTGACCGTGTGGATAAACAGGAATTCTCTTGCACTGTTGGTGGAATGCAAACTGGTGCAGCCCCTCTGGAAAACAGGGTGGAGGTTCCTCAAAGCATTAACACGAGAACTCCCCTATGACCCAGCAATAGTACTACTAGGAATTTACCCAAGGGATACAGGAGTGCTGATGCATAGGGGCACATGGACCCCAATGTTCATAGCAGCTCTCTCAACAATAGCCAAAACATGGAAAGAGCCTAAGTGTCCATCAACTGACAAATGGATCAAGAAGATGTGGTTCATCTATACAATGGAATACTACATGGCAATCAGAAAGAATGAAATCTGGCAATGTGTAGCAACATGGATGGACCTTGAGGGTATTATGCTGAATGAAATAAGTCAGGCAGAGAAGGACAGATACCATATGTTTGTACGTATAGGTGGATTAGGAGGAACTTAATGGAGGACCATGGGGTAGAAGAAGGGGAAAAATAGTGGGGGAGAGGGAGGGAGGCAAACCATGAGAGACTCTTGAATGCTCAGAACAAACTGGGGGCTGATGGGGGTGGGGGAGAGGGTAAGAGGGGTGATGGGCATGGAGGAGGGCACTTATTGGGATGAACAGTGTGTGTTATATCGTAACCAACTTGACAATAAAATATTTAAGAAAAAAAAAGAAATTTCTAATGCAAAAAATTACCTATAACAGGGAATCAAATGCTGTAGCTGTTGAACAATATTTTGAATGCCCTTTCATAATTAGGCTTTTAGAATTAGAAGCCTTCAAAACCATCTAGTCAATCTTCATTATCAGCTTTGAAAAAATATCCACCTAATAAATCTAAAAATTATTTACAAACAAATGGATATAGATGATGTCTATACATTTACCTAAAGGTACTTTGGTATATTTATAGCATAAATATAAAGCTTGTTTCATTACAATTACATTAAATTTAGCACTGTTATATAGCACTAAACTAAAACCAAAATTAGTTTTAAGCTGACTTTACCAACCTCAACATGAAACATGACAATCTACAAAGTGAAAAAGAATAAAGTTATACCTACACTAGTTACTTTTCGGTATATTTGAGCTGCATTCTGGCATTCAGAATAAGGGTACTCGGAAGTAGCCATTTCCAGCATACACATTCCAAAAGCATAGACATCTACAGATTCATCGTAGTGTTCTTCATACATCTCTGGGGCCATAAACTCAGGAGTCCCTACAAAATAACACCACATCCACATTTTTATTTAAAAAAATGTATCCACCAAGATCACATTCCCTTTGCCATATGGATTACCTGGGTTAGTTTCTGCTCTCTAAAACAAATTTATAAATAAAAAGTCTTCAGGAATACTTGCTGTATCTGTATAAAGTAGTCAGGAATTTCCTTATTTTTCTATACTGGTAAAGTACAACTTGTAATGCTCAGGATAATGATTAATAAAATCTGTTTTTATTTCTAATCCTTTATTTACAAATTTTTTCCTTATTTTTCTATATTGGTAAAGTACAACTTGTAATGCTCAAGATAATGATTAATAAAATCTGTTTTTATTTCTAATCTTTTATTTACAAATTTCTCTAAATTAAATTAGTAAATCTATTTTCTTAAGTCTTCAGAACCTTTTAATAATCTTTAGTATGTCCATAAAAGAAATACACTAGAATGTGCCTGAAATAAATCAACATATAATCCATATTTAAAAGCAAATTCAGGACACCTGGGTGGCTCAGTCTTAAGCATCCTACTCCTGATTTAGGTTCAGGTCATGATCTCACAGTTAGTGAGATACAGCCCCATGTCGGGCTCTGTACTAACAGCACAGAGCCTACATGGGATTCTCTCTCTCCCTCTCTTTCTCTGCCCCTCCCCAACCTATACTCTTTCCCTCTCTCAAAATAAAGATTTAAAAATAAATAAATAAAATAATATAATATAAAACCAAATTTACATTCTAGGCCAGGGGTCAGTAAACTTCTCTGTGAAGGACCAGACAATAAATATTTCAGGCTTTTCAGTATATGGCCTATGTCACAACTACTCAACTCAGTCACTGTAGTGCAAAAGCAGCCATAGACAATACATAAATGAGGGCTTGTAGCTATGTTCCGGTAAATCTTTTATTTACAAAACTAAGCAATGGGGTCAGATTTGGTTCATGGGGCATAGTTTTCTGATCCCTATTCCAGACATATACAATTAAAATCTCTCTTTATCCAAATAATAAACTATAAAATGTTAATCACCAATGACACTCTTAGCAAATGATGTTCGCATTAAGGTGGCTAGTCCTAGATCACCAATCTTCACAGATCCAGTGGGTCCCGTGATGAAAATATTGTCACATTTCAGATCCCGGTGAATAATGGGAGGAGTCCTAGTGTGCAAGAACTGCAAACCCTTTAAAATTTGCCTGCACCAACTCCTTAAGACCTTTGGTTTCATGACTTTAAATCGTTTTAAGTACCTGCAGAAAGAAACAAAAAATCATGTAAGTTAGCTTGTATTGTATGTACTGTGATTGTCAGCACTGAGTTGTTTTCTATTGTCTGTTACAGAATAAAATTTTAAATCTACGGCTTCATTCTTAAAGACATCCTACCAAGTCTAGGATTTTTTAGCATTTATAATCCAAAACAAGAATCATTCTAATCAGAGTGACCTCTTGTGGAAGGGCAGCAAATTTTGAAAAGAAAGTCCCTCTCTACTTTCTGATAACTATTTCTATAAGGTCACCAGGGGGGTTAACTATGTAAATTTTTAGTGCGAAGATGCTAGTTAACAGAAAATGTATATTCCATATTTAATAATTATAAGTGATTATACCATCAAATGAAAAATCATAGTCAGAAATAAAATAATAAATTATAATTACATAGTATTGTTCACTAGATATGTGAACGTGGCCACACCCCCAATCTTTCATTATTTCCAAGTAAAACTTCATTAGCACTATCAGGGTCAACTTACGTCTTTAAGGTTCCTGATGTCATAAGTTCAGTCACCAATACGATACATTTCTTTCCCTTTAATATAGACTCCCAGGAATCATAAAATCGAACTATATTGGGATGTTGGAGACCTTTTAACATCTCTGCTTCTTCCTTGAACCTTTGCTGCTCAGCTTTGGTTAATTTACGGTCCTGAAATGGAATACCAGGTTCCAAATTAGAGTCTAGAGAGTCTCACGGACATTTCTAATACCACTCAAATGTGTGCTTTATTCTATCTCCAGAAAGAAATACAGGGTTACCAACCAGTAAAATATCTTCAAACAGGAATTAGACCTCTAATATGGTACATTAAATGCTAAAAGTCAAAGGAGCAATGTTCATAGAATTCTGAGGGAGGACTGTAACCCTAAAATGACCAATCAGATTTATAAGGGAAAAACAGACACACTTTCATGAAAATAAGGACCCAAAATACACCATTCCATACACCCCTTCTAAAAATATTACTCAAAGAATTTTAATAAAAATATGGCCAAATAAAATAATTATAAAAGGAGTATGTGGCATACAATAAATAGTAAGAAATTTCCAAAAATGCTTACTTAGGGTTAAGGCTAAGTAATAATGGTTAATGTGGTTGGTAAAATGGAATGAATTTTCTAAACAGTCATTAAAATAGAAGATATATAATGCAAAAAGAAAGTCTGGAATTAAAACTCCAAATGATCACTGAATGTTGTATGTAGTAAATGAGGAATCACTAAATTCTATACCTGAAACTAACATTACACTGTATGTTAACTGGAATTTAATAAAAATGTGAAACTACAAAAAAATGTTTAATCTAATTTTTAAAATTCTAACAAATAAAAGGAAGAATAAAAACAATTTTTGTCTTCTGCAAGAGGGAGCAGGAGAGGAAGGAGTGGCAGAACGATTTAAAGTTTTGATTTTAACAGAAATAATCAAGTATCCTTGTTAAAAATTTAAGTATGATTTCCATTACAAGATGATTGACAGCGTATTAAATTACTTCCCTTCTCTTCCTAAATCCCACCAAAATGACAAAAGAAATATATGAATAAATCCATAATAGCATTGGAAATAAGAGAAGGGCTCAAGCCAAATATTTCTTTAAAGATAGAAAACACACACATTGATAGAATATATTTTTATGAAAATCAAGAGAGAAGTAAAAACGGAAAAAGAGTAGAAGAAACATTAACCTGATAAACACAAAAGAGTATCATTAGAGAGGTTTTGTATTTTAGCAAAAATAAACTATTGGGATTTCATGAAAATAAAAAGCTTCTGCACAGCAAAGGAAACAATCAACACAACTAAAAGGCAACCTACAGAATGGGAGAAGATGTTTGCAAATGACATATCTGAGAAAGGGTTACTATTCAAGAAATAAAAAGAACATATACAACTTAACACTTCCCCAAAACAAATAATCCAGTTAAGAAAATGGGCAGACGATATGAATACACGTTCTTCTGAAGAAGACATACGGATGGCTAACAGACACATAAATTGATGCTTAACATCACTGATCATCAGGGAAATACAAATCAAAACTAATGATATATCATCTCACACCTGTCAGAATGGCTACATCAACACAGGAAGCAAAAGGTGTTGGTAAGGATGTGGAGAAAGGGGAACCTTCTTATACTGTTGGAGGTAATACAAACTGGTGTAGACACTCTGGAAAACAGTATAGAGGTTCTTCAAAAAGTTAAAAATAGAACTACCCTATGATCCAGGATACAGAAATGCTGAGGCATAGGAGCACATGTACCCCAATGTTCATAGCAGCACTCTCCACAATAGCTAAAACATGGAAAGAGCCTAAGTGTCCATCAACAGATGAATGGATCAAGAAGATGTGGTTTATCTATACCATGGAATACTACATGGCAATGAGAAACAATGAAATCTGGCCATGTGTAGCAACATG